GGGGTTTATATAATTTTTGTTAATTGTTTTGGAAAGTAGTACTAAATTAGCAGTTGCCTCTCGGGTTTTCAGCTTTTTGTGAAGCTGGGGTAGTTCCAGTTGAAGGTGATGATAACAAGTATTAGCATCAAGGGATAGCCCTAGAGGAATTAGGTACTCAATCGTCCGGTTTTAGTTTCCGGAATTTTGTCGTTGGGATTCGAGAAGCAGTTTCAGCAAACCCTTCACTCTCTATTAACCGAAAGCAGTAATCTTGGTGAATCTTTTCTTATTATGGTGTTGTATTGAATTCTCACAGGAATCATCCTTGAAACCAAGCTTTCAATGTTGACCGGCTCTGACCCGTATAACAATGATACCAGGGGCTCCACTGACTTTCTAAATAAAGATGTTAGTACTTAGTACTTCAGACAATTCTCAGATCCACGTTTTTCTTGAATATTCTTGATGGAAAATTGTTGAAATTGTCTTTCTATAATTTTCCTTCTATATTCCAGATTTTGTCATCTCGCCATGTGGGTAATGGTACGGAATATTTTCCTGGTTTTCAATCCGAACCTAGTGCCAGTGGATTAACCCTTGGAGCTAGTTATAAAGGATATGAAAATTCATTCGAGAATCCAAATCTTCACGGCCACCGACGAGAAGGGCCTGGCCTTAGTGGACCGACTTCTGGACCCAGCAGTGTTAGAGGATACGAAACGCCATTCGAGGATCCAAATTTGCTTGTCCGCGCACGAGATGGATCATTCAGTGGATTGACTGGTGGAGTTACTGTTAGAGGCTACCAAGCTTCGTTTGAGGATCCAAATTTGCTCGGCCAACGGCGGGAAGTTGGGGTTAGCATTCCTGATATGGGCTCTGGAAGGCCTAATTCCTTGAGAAGGTCTACTGGTCCTCCAATGGAGGCTGAAGGAGCAGTGTCGAATGTGCTGTTTGTTGATGGGCTTCCTACTGACTGTACCAGAAGAGAAGTGGGACGTATCCTTTTTTTCTTTTCTTTTTGCTTTTGATGAAATGAAATTTTCAGATCTAGTTTCGAGTTTGCCCGTGTCTCATGTTACTTAAGTGCTACTTAATGTCTCGGTGGAGATCATACACATTAAAAATGCATTTTAGCTTCTTTTTGACCTATGAATTTTGGTTTCAGTTATCAAGTTTGTGATTGACAACATATATAGTATATGCTGTTTAAATTACATATCAGTTTGTTATCGACCTATCACCTATGTGGGCTTTGTTGTTTTACTTTACTCTTTCTTCTTACTTTTTTTCAGAAGTTTGTTCCTTGACTTGTAAATAGATCTTTTCCGACCATTTATCGGGTTTACAGAACTTCGACTTGTCCATAAGGAGCCCAGGCGTGTAAGTTTTCCACTTCATTGTGTATGATTCACGAGAATGTCTTCTAACCAATGGTGCAGAATGTAGAAACTTGGATTATAGTAGAATTTGCTACCTTGTATTATATGTAGCACTTCTATTCATATAGTTATCTCGACCCAAGAAGTTTGCTGTGTAAACATTATATAGATGTTTTTCTTACACTCGGTTTGTTGAACTATGCCTTTGGGTACCATTATTTGGATATTCACATGTGAATCACTGGAATAATGAACTGAAAACAGAAATGAAAGTGTATTATGGGACGTTGGGACTCCTTCCAAGTAACTGTTATTGTCGTTTGTTTGAAATAATTATATATCTTGTATTTACTCCTTACTTAACATTGCTGCTAATTCCTCTAGTTATTGGTTAATTGATATGTTTGTTGCAAAACCTGTTTGTGTTTCAGCGTGGGGACAAGGCCATGGTGCTGTGCTTTGTGGAGTTCGCTGATGCAAAGTGTGCTCTTACTGCTTTGGAGGCCCTTCAAGGTAGTATTCCATCTCTATTAATTATTCAAATTTAGCAAATCCTTGCTAGATTTTGTGGACTACTAAGCCTTCATATATTTTATCGCCGGGTTAGATACATAGACCAATACTTCGGAAGCAAGTATAAGTGGAAGATTAATGGTTTGTATATTGAAAGCAATGCTTCGTTTGAACTTATTTCCATTTTGAATAAAAGAATCATGTTTAGTGAATGGTTGTGCAATTTACTTTATGTGTGAATTTGCATTTGTCATGTTATTGACATTGAAAATAATATATTGTGACGTCGTTGCATAGAAGATTATATAATCCATTCCTTGTACAATGAAAATAAGGTTCATAACCGAATAACCGAAATAACAGTGGACACACTATAACCTAGTATGGTTATAGTATAATTTGAGATCGTTTTATCTTGACTAATGAGTTATACTAGTACACTTTTTGTGTATTGAACGAAGGAGAAGTTTATTTTATAATGACCAGTGAATAAACTAGACCTCGTGATATCCCTCTTACTCTAAACCCGAATGATAATGATGGGCACGTGATTAATAGTTATTTCTTTAATTCACCAAAGTGTGAGTCATATTCGTTGAGTCAATAAGCTCGATGAGTTGACCAATATTATTATTCACATGGTGTGCTGTCGATTACTGTGTCACCAATGTGTCTTGGTGAGCTAGGGTGATGACGTCCCCGAAATGAGCTCAAAAGGATTATTATGTTATTATGCACTGCAAGGGATTGAGTTATGACATAATAATAAGGTCGAGTGGTAGTAGTTTCGGAAAATCAAGAAGGTAATTAATTAAATTAAATTAATTAGCGGAGGTTTGATATCTTAAACACGGGGAGATAAATCGAGAATAGTGGAGCTCGAGTTATTGGGGTTGGAAAATGTAGTACAATTTTAAATTTTTAGTGGACTGATTTATTATTAATGGGCTAAGGAATAGGAGCCTAGTATTTCCTATCCTATTGGGATACCTAATCCTAATTCTAAGGTCCCTACTGTAGCCTATAAATAGTAACCTATAAATATACTATGTGGGTGTGGGGGTCTCATTCTCTGTGACGCAAAAATCACGCCACTCATAAAGAGAGAAGGCCGAGATATGCGACACGTAGTTATTGTGGACTACTAAGCATTGATATATTTTATCGTACTACAAATTGCGTGGACATTTTATTGTCCTACAAATTGCATGTCCATGAGGGGATATTTGTTAGGTCTTTATTTAATATTAGAACATGACTCTTCTTTTCCTTCATGAAATTATCTAAACCGTTGGGGTGGTTTCCGTAATTATCCATCAAAACTTTGCTCTTCCCATGCTTGTTTGGTCGTGATTTAGTCTGATCGTGAGTCAGAAAACTGCAGGTTACAAGTTTGATGACAAGAAGCCCGACTCCCCATTCTTGAAGATCCATTTTGCTCATTTTCCCTTCCGCCTGCCCTCGGAAAGAGATGGTCCGCGAGTTTGAGTTGGGCAGGCCCTATGCCTCGACAAGTTGACATAAAGTGCTATTTTTTTTTCCTTGATGCTGTAAAACCTTCTTGTGGATAAACAATATTAAGCACAGCATTTGATGAGAGACATCTGTTTAATTATATTGTCTTTAGCCACACCTGTTGTATTGGTTCTTCCACAAGCTCTTGGCCTCATGCTCAAGTATGTTTGGCAGGATTTTTTTACACAAGTTTTATGTAAGGATAATGTTGTTCAACAAAATATCCCAATTGTTACTCAGTCTTGTACATGCAAATGGCTGTCTAAATAGTTTGATGGCTAATTTAATTTTATGTTCCATGGGGCATATTTATAGGGTTCATTTTTAATTCAGCTGTCTGAAGTTTGACTGATATTTTTTAGATTGTAATCAACATAAAAATAAAATTATCTCATGCTATACATATCATAAGATAATATCTATTTCCACTTTTTCAGGAAATTTTTTTATTTTAGTTCACTATGTCGGTTATTTTTTGAAAAAAGTCCATCATGTTGGGTGTTTTCAAAAAATGTCCACGATGTTGAAATTTGATTTGAATCAAATTTCGTACAATTTTCGGGATGAATTGATAAATTTCTGATAAGGTCCACAATGTTGAAATTGAATCAACGTTTCGTATACTCGAGATGGATTGATAAAATGCTGACGTGTGGAAGCTTAATTTCTGATGTGGGAGGGTTAATCTGTGACGTGGAAGCTTAATTTTTGATGCGAGAGGGTTAATTTGTGACGTGGGAGTTTCGTACAATTTTCAGAATGTATTGATAAAATGCTGACGTGATTAATTTTTGACATGTGAGGATTAATTGTGACGGATGGATGAAGAATTTTCTAAAAACTATAAACATGCCTTAAGGACCAGACTGCAATTTCTTAAAAAAATTTAAAATCGCAGATTTGCCCCAGACCTTAGTTGCAATTAACTAAAACTTTTGAAGTTACTAAATAGTCTATAGAACTTATCAAATTTTAAGAAACGAGCTCCTGCAATCTCATATCTTATTTTAGTCACCTGTAAAGTTGTAATACACCTGTACATTGTACATAGAGATAGAATTTTACACAACATTTTATCAATCCGTCCCAAAAATTGTATGAAACTTGATTAAATTGGCAACATCGTGAACATTTTTTAAAGACACCCTACATGATGCATCTTTTTTGAAAATGACCAACATAGTTGATTAAGAATAAAATTTGGCTTATTTTTTTTAATTATATATGGTTATGCTATTATCCTAGTAGTATCATCCTTATAGGGACCAAAATAATGGTAACCGCTATTTGGTTACATAGTAAAACCGGTTTTGACCGATCGGATAATTTTTTTTTGTAATGTTTAACTAAAAATCCAAACAAATTTAAATCAACATGTATTAATAATATAATTAAATAATGTCAATCAATCATCTTTATACATTACATCAACTTTAATTGATCATTCATTCACTCACATATTTTTAACTACCTATATTTATAATAATATTTTTTCCACTATTACATCAAATCAACTTTAATTATTACTTTAAATACAAACTCAAAATCCTACTTAATCTTTGTTCAATGAATTTATTTAAAATTAACTCATTTTAACTTAAAATTAAATCAAAATCAATTTTGATTTATATGCAATCCCTCTCGTCCAGATGCACCTATATGACCTAACTACGTTTGACTTTGACCTAAGAAATGGCATGCTCTAAATGCCAATTTTCCTCCACCAAAATCGGAAAATGAAAGCAATTCACAATTTCTAGTTGGACTTTGGTGCCCATATCTACCATGTGAAAGTCAACATTAACCATAAATACAATACCAAAATGGTCCTAAACATTTTAGAATAAAAAGATGACTTGTACAAATAGAACTACAACTCAATAATAGTTATTTAAATCTTCTACCCAATCAATTTTTGGAGTAGATTTTATTACATTTTGTACTTTATTTCATTGGATGAATAACATCTATAAATCTCATTCACCCAATTAATGTTACCTAATATAAAACATGAAAGTGTTATAAAATGATTTGATCCTGATTTTGATGTTTGTTAAGTTGTTACACATATTATCAGTTACTAACTATATTTTTTTCAATAAATATGAATATTTACAAGTTGAAATGTCTTATTCTAAAAAGTAACATAAAAGTGACATTTCATATGAGACGTATACATTTGTAATAAAGGTATGGCGGAATCATACGCCACCTAACAGTTTGACAATCTCACACAAAAATTTATATCTTGTACAATTCTAGTCTATTTAATTATTTATTTTCAAGTATTGGATGGGTAAGTAAAATCTAAAATTAGAGCATCTCCAAATTGCGCTAGAGTTTGGATAAATTTCCAAAATGTTGGTGTAATTATACGTAGACGAAATTTTCTGCATTGTTTTGGTGTTTCGTATAGTGTAACCCATGTGTGTCGGTGTACTGCTAATAACGCTACAATTTTTCTTTTTTCTTTTTGTGTTTTCTAATGATTTCTTTTTATTTTTTTAATTTTTTTCTTATTTCTAATGATTTAAATGACAAACTTTTGGTAATATTTTTCAAACTGTTTTATTGTTTTTCTTTAACCTTTTATTTCAATTCTTAGACTATCTCCAGTCCTTATATCTACTCTAGTAGCCAACAATCAAGGTTCATCTCCAATCGTTCGCGCTACATTTTACTCTACATGAATATTTATATTTTATTCTCATTATTTAAAATTAATTTTAATACCAAAAATTTAATTTATGAAATATATTGTTATACACATATTTAGTTTTTAAATTATCATTATAAGATTGACAGAAATAGAATTAGATACATTATTTATTTAAATTAATATTATTTTATTTATTACAAGATTAATTAAGTATTTCTTAAAAAGTTATAGTGAATTCTCAACAGGTAATCTATGTCATAAATTTGTTACTATATGTTTAACAAAACAACAATACACACACACACACACACATATATATATATATCAAAATTATTTTATTTAAAAATTATTCAAGAAATATTTTTTATAATGTTTGCAACCAACATACAAGCAATATATATAGATACAAACAATATATATAGTAATAAAATATATTCAACATTATTTTTATTTTATAATGTTGGAAATGAGAACAAACAATATTTTTATATTTATATATGTTATTTGTAAAACATGCTTGTTAGTTCAATTTTAAACACAATTTGTAGATTAATACATTTTCATAAATAAAACAAAGAAAAAACAAACAAAAAAAGACAAATTGTGGCGTTGGTGAATAGTGCAGCTCCACATCTGGCGTTGTACTGTTTATGTATGGGAAGTAGCGTGAAGATGGAACACTGCGTTGGAGATAAATATCCACACAACTCCAGCGAAAAACTCTATTCCAACGCAGCGCTGGAGAAACTCTTATACTCTAAAAGTAAATTTATTTATATAGAATAAATTCTCTGTTTTTATGGATTCGAATAATATGGCTAAGAATGAAATAAGAAAAAAATAAATGTAAAATAATATATAATTAAATTATGTATTTGTAAAATAATGTATATAATTAAATTTGATTTTGAGTATTAAAATTAATTAAAAATAACAGAAATAAAAATAAAATATTATATAGAGTAAAATGTAGAGATAATATAGAAATTTGATTTTGAATTGACTTTAATATCTAGTAGAGATAAAAGTTGTTCTTTCTGTGTTTCTCTTATCATTGGTTCTCTTGGGTTTTCATCTCTAGTCTATCCCAATTTGCTTGGGATTAAAAGGTTATGTTGTTGTTGTAGAGATAAAAGTTGTAAGTGGCTTAGGCTGCAATTGGTACCCCCATCTCTTGAGTTTTAATATTGTACTAATTTGAAGAAAAAGAATAAAAAAAAAAGGTTTACAACATTCAACAATCTCTATACACAGTCGTTGTTAATGAAAGGGGTCACCATTTTTTCAATTAAAAGAATAAAGTTGCGGTTATTCAATTGTTTTGTTTGACAATTATTTATAAAGAAAAATAATACACGGGTCTAATTTTGAAACGATCAAATTTTTTATGGTCTTTGTTTAAATCAGAGATTTGAAATAAGAATAATCTCCATATTTAAATTACTTTAATTGTAAAACGTGATGTATACAAGATTTAGATAGATTTATCACATATCATCCTCTAAATTAATGATTTTTTTTTTAAATTTCAAAATACCAAATCAAATTTTTTATGGTCTTTGTTTAAATCAGAGATTCAAAATATCTTAATCTCTATATTTAAATTGCTTTAACTGTAAAACGTGACGTATACATGATTTAGATAGATTTATCACATAACTCCCCTAAATTAATGATTTTATTTTTTTCTAGGTTTCAAAATACCAAATCCTAAAGTTGCGACTGATTTAGTTATTAAACGATATTTTGCAATCATAGATTCGGGTTATCTTCAAATTCAAAATTGAAATTGCCGATATGTAGATCAATTTGGACAGGTTAAATACATATGATCTAAAATGAAGGATTTTATTCCATTAAAAACAAAAAATATGAACTTAAGATGTAGATTTTATTTTGCACGTGTGATAATACAATATTACATGCTATGAAAGTCATATTGTTTACCCGTGCATCGCACGGGCTACGCACTAGTTAACCATTGTAAAACTACTGTAAGACTCTTACAATTATAGCAGGTAAATATGTATACTTTCAAATTTACTATCATATCATAATCTAAGCCTATGTTTGGTTCAACTGATAGGAGAAGAGGGGAGGGATTTGAATAGAAGGAAGGAGAGGGGAGGTAATGTAAAATAATTTTACCTTGTTTGGAGGGATTTTGTAGGGGGGAATGAAGGAAAAATGTTAAACCTTGTTTGGTTTAAAAAACGGAGGGGAAAGAAAATATTGTAGAAATGACAGTTACACCTCTAATGATGTAAGAAACAAAAAATCAATATAATTCACAAATGAAGGACAAAAAAGTAATTTCTATTTAAAATTTTCCCTCCCCTCCAAATTCCCACTTTTGAAGGGGAGCAAAATTGGGGGAGGAGAGAAATTTTGCCTTAAAATTTCACCTCCCCTCCTAAATTACAAACCAAACAAAGGAAAAGTAAAAATTCCCCTCCCGTCCCCTCCCCTCCCCTCCCCTCCAAATCCCTCAAACCAAACAATACCTACGAAAAACATAAAGTATGACATCCCATTTTTGTAAAAATTATATCTACATAAATTTGTGTATTAACCCTAAGTTCAACAAAATATGTCAATTATACAATCATATGGCAATCAAATAAAATCCCTACTCCATTTGGGTACTCAAATCAA